CTACTTTTCCTTAATTGTTACTGTATAAATGCAGCTAACTGAAGAATGCTTTTGTCAGTGAATTTTAACTCCAAAGAAAGCAAAATACTTTCTCACTTAACTCACATACTATTTTTATAACACTTTGTGCTGGAAAAATTTTATGCTACTGGGTGGTGAGTTTATATCTTGGAAAGATAGAACTGTTAGGGGGGTTCAACTAGATGGTCTCAGGAGGTCCCTTGAAACCTCAGTGATACTGCAGTTCTGTCCTAGCTTTTAAAAAATTTAACTTGGTCAAAGTAGCAGCAGAAGCATTTCTTGTTCAAATAACAGCCTATTTAAAGTAAGCTACACTGTTGAATTTTACAAAATACTGGAGTTCCTGGAGCAGTTTTCATTCTGTTTCTCATCAGAAATCAAGTATATGACAAAATACTTTTGAAGACAACATAGAAGAAAAGACATTATTTAACATACTGTATGATGAAATACAATAATTATCTGCTGAGCAATAGATCACATAGCTGCATTTGTTTGAGAAGACCTGGTAAATATGGTAAATACACACGAGCATGAAAATAGAATAATTAGTTAATGTGGAGCAATATCTTTGAATTTCACCAGATGCAGTGAAAAAAAATTTTTTGTTGTTCTTCCTGTTGCATAAATGAGATGTTGTTAACCTTTATGTATTCTTTAACATTTTTAATTACAATGTAAAATATGGTATGTACCTCATTCAAATTTCATTAAATTTTGATCCTAAAAGTAAGGATTTCCTTCAAGACACAACAAACAAATCTGGACAAAAATCATATCCCTTTCAATTATGTAAGAAATTCCTCCAAAAGTTCTCTTGTAATTATAGAATTACAGTCTAAGAAAAATCTCAAAATACTAAGACATTTCCTGTATGATTTATGAATATCTATGCAGACAGTCTTCTTACATCGAAGTTTGTAAGTTTTTTAATTGTTTTTCAGGAGACATAACAACTAGTTTCCAACACAGGCCAAAGAAGACTGAATTCAGATTCCAAGAAAGGATTATATTTCTTACACGATGTCTTGTGTTATCTATATACACTTGGAGTGATTTATTTAATGTAACATATGGGGTATAAAAATGATGCAAAAGTTTAAATTGGAATTATATAAATATTTGTAGATGTGACTATTCTGATCATAGCCCTTTCGTGTGTGCTTAATGTATTACAAGTAATGTTCAAAACTTTCTATGGGATATTTCTGAATGTATATAGCTATAAACTGAGTAACAGAGTAAAGCACAGTTTTTTCCAAAACAGTGTAAAAGCCAGATTCAAATTTTAAAAGATAGTAATTTTTTATCTCATTTAAAAAAAGCATCTAAAAATAGCTGAGGCACCTTCCTTCTGCAAAAGGGACTCACATAACTCTAAATAACCATACTGATTTTCTCAGAAGTTTTGATGTTTTTTCTGTAACATTTCAAAGGATAATTTCCAAATATTTAAAGCAATTAAGAAGAGGCTGCAGGGTGAATGCATATAAACTAGTTTTGCTGTTACTGGGATTCTCAAATGAGATTGTCTCTCCTTCTGACCCTAAATAGACAATGTAGTGATTAGTATGTAGTGATTAGTCACACTGTAATCATTAAGGGTAGAAAAGGGGGAAGTACTGTATGCATAATATAGATAAGGGGAGGAACCAGTGGTCCACCCCATCCAAGCTGAAGAAAGGTTATCCTATACGAAATAGAAATATATAGCCTGTTATTAGTTGTGAATCTGTAATGACAGACACTTGATGTTATGTTTTATAACTCAATCATGTGAGAAATGTCGCTTTCCTACTAATGAAGTTTTGAATACTCATTATTGCATTCCTGGTAAAGGAATCTAAGGAATAGCCTTTGAATTTTAGAGGACATCAAATATTCTAATTTAGTTTTACAAGTTAAGAAATTGGACTGGAAATTTGAAATACAGTAAATGTTTAAAGCCATCAGCCAGAAATATGCATAAGGCATGCAAAACTGAAAGTGCAAGTGTATTTCAGATTGTTTGCTGCCTTCTACTATTTCTCTAATAAATAAATCAAGCACGGCATAACATGCTTTATTTTGTGAAATTAGACACAAATGCATGCTTTATTGTCACTTAATTCTCTAACTCAGCAAAGCAATGTATACTTAGTATTCTACATTTACAAGTAGCATACCAATTCAGAACTAGCGTAAAAGCATTGTATTGCAAGTACTAAAAAGCTAAACAAAAAGCAATGGGTATATTCAAATCTCAGATTGCAGATACCTCTGCTTAGAATGTACACTAATTGAGATAAGAATATAAACCCTAAAACAGAAATTTAAATCAAATTAAAGCAATTCTTTACTTTCCTTCCAGCATCTGAGTGGAGTTGGTTTTGAGGTTCACTATAGAAGGTATTAAAGTTTCTCAGAATTCAATATACTAGCAGATATTTTAAATGCCTTTAATATGTCAAAATTAACTTCTGTGCTCAAAGCACACACAAACTATGGACCATTTGTACCCTATTTTAGTGCAGATGATTCATATATCTTATATTCACTTTGGGAAGAGAATTTAATCCATTTATGAAACAGTTGTAACTATAAAGTAAAAGTAAGTTGTAACTAGAGAGTAAAACTGTAGACTTGTAAGAATATAACTTAAAAAGTGATGTTTCATATTTAGGGATAATAGAATAGTTATCAATATTTACTATGCAAAATGCTGTACTCTTCCAATTCACCAGATTGCTAAACTTATTTAAGAAAAAGGTTGATTTAAAGTAGATGAGAATTTAGCAGATTATTTTACAAAATGATACAGAACTTTTTACATAGAGACTTCTATGGAATACATATGATCTCTTACATTTTCAAGGCAAAATTTGAACATGGAGGTAAACATCAAAATTATAAATACGTGCTGAATAAAAACTCGGCTTGTTTTGTCACAGCTCAGCATAGGCATAGGCAATATAAGAAAGTAAAGAGGGTTGATTTATTTTTACTTTTTGCTGGCAGGTAAAAGAATCTGGTTTTATGGATTTTTATGAAATGAGCTCAGTTTCTGAGAATACTGTAATTTGACTATAATCTTATCATGAGCTGGTCAATTATTTATTATTTTTACTGTTCGTGAGTCATTCATAAAGTAATGTTACTATCTGGCAATGAGCTGTTGTGAATACTTGCCAAATGCTTTGGAAAAAAACATTTTCAGAAGTGCATGTAACTAATAGTAAAGATAAAGCCTAGACAGTTGGCCAGTCAAATTTTCTAAGTGACTGGAATCAGGTACTTCATTGATCAACATTAATATTGGAGAACAGAGCTGAAACCTTTTTTGCTTTTCCAGGCTTGTCTGTGACTTCTACACAGTAAGTTGCTCATGAATTATTTATGTTGTATATCTGAATTTCTACCATATGATTGGGCTTCTGGCATAGCTTTATAGTTATTAGTGAGAAATAAGGGAAAGCAGTAAATAGATTTTAAACTGCAGGTACTTTTCTTTGAGCATAAATATTCTATTAAGTGGAATATTTACTAAGGCAGTCATGTAAGGATACTGAAAAATGGAGTAAAACATTTGGCAGTCAATTTTGACATCTTTCTGTAAATGATCTTCTTTTTTCTCAATGTCATCTAAAAAGCTGCATTTCTTGTCCCTGTGTCTGGGACTCCAGTCTGGTCTGGGAGTCCTCCTGGAACTGACCAGAACATTATTAATAAAGGAAAGTTGACAGCAATTTCCCGACATTCCTTTGCAGAGAACCACATTTATCTGAATGTTCATGAACAGTAAGTATAAAGAAAAATAGAAAATGCCTAAATCAAATAGTCATTCAAAAATTAAATGAAAATTTGCACATACTGTAGTACTTGACCAGCTTTTATCCTGCTTAATACCAATTTGTGAATTCCAAATTACGAGAAAGCTGTTAAAAGTCAATTTGCTATATGAAATTGAAATTTATTATCTAGTACTAATTGGTTAGCAATATTTTTTCTGATGCATTCTGAACTAGAGATATATAGCTTGATGACTACTATTAAAGCCTCAGTTTGACTTGATTAAGCTTAGATTTGTATCTAAATATTGTTCAGACAATATATTTCAGGCTATTCCACTGGTATACAATTAATTTCAAATTCATTAGCACATTGTTTCCTCTTATATTTCTATGAAGTAGCAAAAAGCATTCTCTGTTTCAGTGACATGCATATAGAGTTAGTTCGTATTCAGTGGCTTTAAGGAACAGAAGGTATAAACAAATGAAAAAATAAGTTAAAATGCCTTCTTGAGTGAGATGAATAATAAGCAGGGCCGCTAAGTTACTCAGAGTAAGTAAGAATAACCTTATATACATTGTATTGAATATTAAATGGAGATCTGTTGAAATAAGAAAAGCATTTACCTTATAAAATGAAGAATTTAATAGAGAAATCAAATAACTTAATTTGTTTTTAAAGTCAGCCAAACTCAGAAATAGATTTAAACCACTAAGAGGTATGAATATATCTCTGGTATGATCTGGTAAAATTCATCCAGGTTTGACTCAAGGTGGTTTCTCAAATGCAAAGAAAAATGAAGGATTTCCACTGATAACAGAAAATATCTTTATTAACTAATGCTAAATTAGATTCCTGTACAAAAACAGTGATATATTTATCAGTGAAATATTACTAAAATCTTGTTAAATCTTATTCATTGTTAAGAGTCTGTTAAGAGAGTTCATAGTTGGTAATTTCAATGCCTGAGATTGTCTAGAACACTCCTGAGATTGGCTAGAAAGTAAAGTAACCTTAATGAATGTAACTTCTATGTGATACTGAATATGGATTTACGTGAATTGATGGAGTTTTTGCTTATCTGTTAGTAAAAGATATGCAATAGATAAAAAGATAGTGCAGCCTTTCTGCATGGACTTGTCATTCCTTATTCTGCATGCATGTGTTCTTTCTATGCATGCATAGTTTCAGAGTCTTTCATTTTGTCTTACCCTCATGCCTTCAAATCGTGACAAAGCTCTTAGAGGTCTCAAAGCTCTTAGTGTCCTAAGGGACTTAATGGCACCAAGTTCAGAGTAACCCAATGCATTTGCTGTTAAGCTAACCAAAGAGACCTATATGAAAACAGGAAAGTAAAAATTATTATACTGTACATACTACTTTACATACCATAGACGTGAGATATAAACTTCTTTAGAAGAATCTAATTTTGGACCACTTTCTTCAGGAATAGGAAGTCTTTTAAATAAAAGAAAAACAAAGTAATATGAAATAAGAGTAGGAAGGTAAACAAGCAAACAAAAATATCATAAGGTAACAATATCTGTAAAAATTAATATTTCTGAATTTCTTATTTTGCTAGTGATTTGAGAGTATTTAAAAACACAGAAAGCAAATTAAATTAATCTCTCCTTTTTACTAATTTAGGTATTACTCTCACTTTTTCTTCATTTTACAGTGCTGTTGGGATCAGTAATTATAGCTGGTAATGAGCAGTTGATTGCCCACAACTGAAATAGAAATGATTGAAGCCTGTTCTGTATTAACAGATGAGTCACAGAGCAACATTGCTCTGTTGGAAATTGGTAGAAAGGACTAATTTGTCCATATTAACTTGCACTAATGTTTTTACCTGACTGCTGAGCTTATGTGCTTTATAGGCTGACATTAACCTTGGTTATGCTGTTACTTAAAGACCTTACAAGAACAGTTACATAGGTGGCAGAACTCCACAGGCCTTCATATACTCTATGTCCCCACATTACCTCAGTGGAAATACCATATTCTCTGTATTTGTGTAGACACTATGGTTGTAGAGCAAGTAATTAAAAATAAAAAAATCAGATTAAAAAAATATAAAAGTTACGTCTAGTAAATATACTACATACATCGACAATCAGGAAGTCCAGCCAGCACCAGGCATTAGTAAAGTATGTTTGATAGCCATAGGCCACCCACTTCAACAGCATTTCCAGAATGAAGATGTAAGTGAAGACCTTGTCAGCATATTCCAGCATGGTCTTGATAGTTTTACGCTGTTCAATATATATGTCTTCAAAAGCCTGTAAATAAAACCATTCAAAGATATTTGATATTCCCTTTTTCTACTACACCCACTTCAGACTGCAACAAAAAAAAAAAACTGAACCAAAAAAACCCCCAACAAAACAAAAACCAAACAAAAACCAAACACCACCACCCCCCCCCCAAAAAAACCCAAAACAATCTTTCTTCAAGAAAAGACGTGAGAGTGTCACTTTTATCTGATGGGTTTTTTTCTGCTAACTCAGTCTATACCTGTTTTTCCCTGACAGAACTGTATTTTCCAGCTTGCAGGAGGAAGAAGCAGATATTGCAGAGCAACCACTCCCCTGATCAGAGAGTTTTATTTATTTAATTTTGCTGATTGTGAATTATTTTTCTCAAGATCATTTTCAGTACTTACAAATAGCACTGATTCTGCAGAGTGGTGTGCCTAAACTGAACTCTACAGAGATCATTTGGTTTGCATATAGGTAAATCCTGTTTAAAAATCCAGAGCCATAGCTTTAAAATTTTCAGGACAGTGTAAATGTAAATACAATTGACCATTCATTTTTTAAGTCCTGCTGCTGTTTGAAAATTTTAAGTTATAAATCATAAAAGAGTACTTCCTTTCTTTAAAAAATATTTATTTACCTAACTCAAATACCCACTTCACTGTATTATCCACATTTTATGAGATACATAAAATTTCTGAGCCCCTTGCAATGTTATTTACACTTTTTGTGCGATTTCAACTTTGTACATTTGAAAAAAACATATAGCTTCTGTGTTTCAGAAATTCTTCCTTTCCTCCAAGAAATTTTCCCTTTAATTTTTTGTAGATTTTAATTATGCTATTATTTCTTATGGAGAATGGTAGATTTTATTAGATTGAAACAACTGGAACGATCTGCTTGCTTGCAAAGATTTGTAAATATGTTGCTGCTAAATTTGTTTTTACCCAGCCTGTTTTTGAATCACTTTACATGTGTCAGTTCAAATAATTAGTGTTTGTCTATCACTCATGAAATTAACATCTGTGTATCAGTAATTTTGGATACTTAGTTAAGGCACTATGGTACTTGACACTCTTAGTAATCACTTACAACCGTATCTCACAAAACTGGAAAGAGCACACACAGAGGCTAAGCTAGCAGTGCTCTTGGCAGCTACAAGAGTGTCTGCCCCCTGCCTGAATGCCCCTAGGGAAAGGGTTTGCAAGCAGCCTGCAATGAGCCTGTCCCTGGGCAGGGACACCTCGCACTAAACTAT